AATGGAAGACAGGGGCATAGGATGCTATTTTATATAAGCTGGAGAAAACCCCTAAGTGTTCACTTAAGCTGAGACTAAATGAACAAAGAAGAAAATGATGCAGATACCTGACTAAAGGCTGGGCTGAGGGAAGAACAACTGAACAGACCAGACTCTGAGGTGGGAACATGCCTGGCTGGTTTGAGAAATCAGGGTGGCCAGGGGGCTCCCTGGGGTGGAAAGAGGGCTGGTACTGAGTGTTCCTAGGAGTGAACTGGTAAGACAGAGGCTGTGGTCAGAAAGTAGGATGCTAGTGCAGTTACTAATAATCACAGAGTCTGGGGGTGGGTGGATGAAATGGGATGGAGGGCAAAATCTGCATCTCTAATCTCCTTGAGTCTCTGATTATTTCTGCCTTCTCCCTTTGTGACTGTGCATTTTAGAACTAATTACATTTGTATTCAGCTTCTACAACAGAGTTCAGTTTTGTCTTCATATCCCCAAAGTCTGTGATGAACTGGGAGAGCAAACTGAATAGTAAATACTTACCTTTGTCATGTGTCTGGGATTTCTCATTCCATGTAAGGTCCTGCTAGCAATTTATAAAACACTATCTTGTAGTCCAATGGCTAAAATATTCTCCTAAACAAATCAGAGAAGAGCTTATTACTTTGCATGTTTAGCCTTTACTTGTGACTCACTGGGGATCTGTGGGTATCTAGTTCTTTGACTCAGTTTGTCAACTGTAAAATAATGTAACAGCTTTTATACAAGTATTCTTTGAATATTTTAGTATTATGGAATCCATCTATGGGGGTTTTTGAAATTTTGAGGACTCTGATCTTAAATTTATTCCTAGGAAAGGTGTGTGTGAACACACACACACTCACACGTTTTTTTCCTTGTGGCTTGGGCCAGTCTCTAAATTTCAGGATGTAGCTGAGGATTGCAGATTCTAACATCTGCTGTCATCAGAAGGTATTTCATGATCTTCCCCAGCAGCTGAGGCCAAATTTCTAAACATGACTTTTTCCAAATGTATTTGCTGAATAATGGGTTTGGTTCTTCTTGGAACTTATAAAATTACCTCATGGAATGGAAAAACAAGTTTTTGCCAACAATTAGAACATATACTTGACTCTGGAACTACATTCAGCCAAACCATGTTCAGATGTTTGTACATGATGTGCTAATCATGTACCCATTCTGTTGTGGAGTGGTTTTGGTTAGTCAAATATTAGCATGCTCTGTGCCTGAGCAAGGCAGATAATTCATTGTGCACTGAAGACCTAAATTACTGGGTTAAAAGAAATGTTGATCTGATATATTTGGCAAAATGCTGGTTATTTCTTCTGGGTGTCTAAATGCTTTTTTTTATCAGTAGTTTATTTTATTGGCATCTTTTATTTTAGTATCATAATTTCTATTATGTAAGTGCTATTTTATGAAAATTATAATTTACTGGTATTTTATTTGTATTACTAGTTTTCACAGAATATTGACTTATGAAGCCTCTTAAAGAATTTTAAAGTTTGTATGAATTTCAGAAAACTGTTATAGCAAAGCCTTTTAATACCTTATTATAAAATTTTAATTCCAATAAACAGGTAACTCTAAAACAGGGACTAACTAAAGTGGCTGCATCTTCTCATTTGACTCAGAAGGCTATATTCAGTAATTACAGAAAAATAAACTACGATTTTTATCAAAGAAAAATTTTATCAAAGAAAACTGTTTCCTTACCTCACTTACCTTCTTTTATTTTATGGCTTCTAATGCTCTATTTTTTTTTCAGAAAATAGCAAAGCTCGAAGTAATGATTTTGCTGAAAAAAATGGACTTCAGAAATATGAATATGTCTTACATCCAAGAACTACAGGCTTTACTTTTGTAGTGGACCGTCTAAGAGAAGGTAAGCACCCATCTCAAAAGTTTACATTTTTATACATGGCAAAAATAGCTAAGCATTATATTTATATAGCCCTTTAGAATTTACAAAGCACCTTTTCATATTTTATATCAAGAAATGAGATATTATATTTTTATACTAAGTTGACCCAGCACACTAAAATGTTTTATTATGTATGTGTTAGAAATATAACGGATATCTCTGTAACAAAAAAAACAAAACAAAACATTTTTCCCCCTTTTTTGGAATAGATAGAAAAATGATATATACAAATAGACTATCATTCTATTTTTAAATATTTCTCAAAGTAGCAAAACTAACTTAAAAGTATCTTATCACTTATACTATAGTTCCTCATAGCTTAAAAAGTATTTTTGCATTTATTATTTCACTCACTCCAACAAATGATTCTGGTTGATAGGAAGGCAAGTACTGCTACCTCCATTGGGTTAGTACATTTCTATAGGTCAAGGTTAGAACCTCATTCTTCTACTACCTCATACTTCCTCTAGAGCCATGTCTATTGAATGGCATATGGGCGCAAGGTGATTCCATTGATGGTGTCACACCCATTTATGTTTATACTTTTATATTTTTGTTATGTAAAAAAAGACTGTACATTTTGAGTTGCATATTTGTATGTTTATACATCCATACATACAGGTCTATATACAAATTACACACATATGACTATATGTGCAGAAGGAACTATTCAGAAACATGAAGTGTTACTAATTTTATAAGAACAATTCAAAACCCTGAGTCCCCTAGCAGAAAATAATCTTGGTTGCATGTTTCTGCTCTCCACTCTGATTTCTGCTAAGCCACACTATTTAATGATGACATCTGTGACAATTATTTCCTTAACCTGTAATTGCTACATTGTCATAAAACTGCTTGTGTCTAACATGAAAGGTCTTGAACCATTATGTAAGAAAAGGTGTAAAGTATTCACTTCTTTCTCTAAATGGCATCACTGTTGTCCTTTGGGGTTTTAATGTGCTTGAAGATACAAAATATAACCTCAGTTAATGAACTCTGCCAAGATGAAGCATCTTTACAATAAGTATTAGGGACTTTAAAGAAATGTGTATCAATCCAAAATCACATTGGTATAGTAAACCCAAACTGCTGTTATTTGGCTTGCTTTTAAAATTCTGTGGTTATAGCTAATATGAAATGAACTCTCATGGGCTTGATGGTCATATTGTAGGTGCAAAGTGAGTGTCCATCTCCCAAGTGAAGCTCATGGAGAACACAGTTCTTCATGTCTATGGAATGGGACAGGGAGGCACTAAGACATTTAAAGAGGTGATGCTTTTTCTAAAAATGTGGTACCACTTACTGTGGCATCTAACTTGGACTCACCCTTCTCCAGCAACATTGTTCTATTTCCTCACATAATCTGATCATTTATAATATGTAATGATTTCTTTTGAAGAATTTCTGACATCCTAAACACATTCATCTACTGGATTTTTGTGTTAACACAAGTATGCTGGTGGAACATATATCTTCTGCTAATAAAGATCTTCCTAAATCTTTAGGCAGGGTAATTGAGAGATTATTTTGTAGTGGATAAGGAAATATCTATAGAGCATTCTGTTCTGAAATCTGGAAAACATTTTAGTAGCAAACTGATTTATAATTTTGGGATATGGGTATTACTTAGTCATTATTCAAAGTACTAGTTAACAACCACTGAAAGTAATTTTTCCTGGTAGAACTGGCAACTGATCTCCCCTCTTCCCTGCCCTGACCTCTAGATCAGTTAAAAAAACAGGATTCCATTTGCTTCAGTTAGAAAAATTCAGTTAGAGAGCTCCCTGGACTTCAGTTAGAAAAGCAGAATGGGACCTGTATGCCATAATAAAAAAAATAAGAAATCTGATTATAATCAGTATGATAGTAGCAGCAGTTAATATTTATTGAGCATTTACTAAATACCTGGCATTTTGGTAAGTGTTTTATATGCATAATGTTAGTTAAACCTCACAACAACCCAACACCGTTTTTGCCATTATTAATGTTTAGCTTGTAGGGCAAAACTGAAGCAGAAATTGAAGAAGCTTGTCAAAGTTACTGGGATATCGTTTGTCTGACTGAATATCCCACATTCTTTCCATTATAACTTGGTGTCTCTTGCATTTATAGTATGATTTTAGTTAACAGAGTCTCCACAGTTAACACAAAACACCTTTATAATAACTCTGAGCTGGTTAAAAACGATTTCTAAAGAAAAATGATGCTAACCGGCCAGATCATGGAGAGATGGTTGTCACAGGAAGGTGGTTATAATGCTGCCTGAATGGCAAGGGGAGCAGGCACAGCCTAAGGAGGCATCAGATGGAGAGCTGAGGGCAGCCCCGCTCTTAGGAGTGAAATAGGGGGTGTCCAGTAAACAGAAAGAGAAAACATTTCATCAGCGGTCAGAGGTGCAGATGATCTTGGAAATCATCGAGTCTGGAGTGCTCACCTTAAATTTGCTAAGACTCAGAAAGGCCCGAACAACTTTCGGATCTTTAGACTGCTGAGATCTGCTTTCAATCATCAGTTACGTAAAAAAGAAGCTTGCTTTATTAAAACAAATGACCATTATAAATAAATAATGCCAGTGGCATCCTGGAGACCACGTATTAAAACAAATTACCATAAAGTAAGATTTTCACTACTCACACATGTTATGTGAACTCAGTGCTGCTGATGTCTGTTGGGCAGTCAGCACAAATGGGCCTATCAGAAGCTTAGAGAAATCAAGAAGGATTAAGTCTTACCAAAGAACACTGAATAAGTGAAAATGCAAAACAAGGAAAGAAGCTTTCGTGCTCTGTTTAGCGTAGATTTCACTGAGATTGAGAACATTTAGAAAATACAAACATATCTTGAATATAACATCCATTATATAATATTACAGAGGTGTGTTGGTTATTTCTGTGAAATTGCAGAATGTTTATTACCCTGACACCTTCATTTCCACCATTTGTGTGCTTTTTTATACTCTTACTAGATCATAAACTTCATGAGGATATGGAATATTCTGCACATACTTAATCAGTACTAATTTAAGTATTTTTTCTTTTATCTGGAAAGACAAACATAGTATCCTAGTGTATTCTCAGTGCATTATGTATTATGTTGATAGATGTCATTGATGATTTATTCCATATGGACCTCTAATCAAAGAACCTTTTGATATGTGATTTTGAGAGTTTTTTCAGTACTAGGTTAACCCAAACCTAAAAGGAACTTCCTAACCTGGAAAAAAAGAGGCTTTTATATGAGAAAACTTTTAAAAATTACATAGCTATAATAAATTTAAAACTTTTAACTCATTGCACAAAAAATTAGATATATTCATCATCATTTCTGGTGCATCATCATTCTTAACAATTAGAGCTTTATTCTTTGATTTTTCAAACAAACAATGATTTGGTCCAACCATTATTTGATTTTGTTAAATGTTTTGTAATTTAATATGCCAACAAGTTAGAATTGTAACCATGCAATAACTACTTAAACCATTAGGCGGCACAAGTGTGCACATTGAAATTAGGTTAAAGTTGGGGATGAGGGACAAAACACTTGATATTTGTTTGAGATTATGTTCTTGTATGATCTTGCCTTCAAGAAGTTTACAGTCTTAATGGGTAGATAAAAATAATGTAAGACAATGAAGTTATAAGCTAAGTTTTATCATATGTAATATATAAACATTTTGCTGAATTACTGTAGAAGTACTCAGTGAAGAGAGATCATGCAGTGTTGAAACACTTAGTTAAGGCTTCTTTAAGAAGCTTACTTCCCCCTGGACCTGTGAGACTCTGTGTGATTTGGATAGGCAGGAAAAAATGAGGATGGCTGAGGGTAGGGAAGGAAGAAGACAAGAAGGGCAGAGTTGGGGCCTGTGGAGCTGAGCAGCATACTAGACAAAACCAGCCTGACTGAGCTGAAGGCTTGTGTTGTAGAGTGACAGACAATATTTAAGAAGGTTACTTGGAGCCATTATTATTGAACTACTTAATTCCTGACCCCCAATTATCATATTTTTAGTTTGTCCATTTCTGTCTGGATCAGCTCATTGTTCAAACAAATCAGCTCATTGTTAAGGCTCTAACGTATCATACAGATATATTTAAGTTTGGGGTTTTGAGATTCTGTGTTTCAACCCATATTTAGCCTAAATTTTATATATGAAAGAATAGAGGATGCTGCCTTTCTTCTAATCTAGGGTATTCAAGGTTAACCACTAAAGAAAAACTAAATTCTACTATACAGTTGGGATCCGCACACCTGATCATAACTCTTCAGTCTGTATTCAGGGAGAGAGAATTGCTGACACTCAGTCACATAGGTGGCATCCAACAGTCCTGTGTTTGGGTCCCTCACTTTGGTGTACAGTAGTTCTCATTTGCTCTGAGAAGTTGGCAGTTAACTAGGAAGTAAGTGGAATAGCAATCATAGACAGCTCCGTCTTCGGCAGCATTATCAGACCATTTTAGTTTCTTGGGCTTTTTGCTAAGTGAATGACTAACTACTAATAATCCACCCTTTTCCTTACCTATAGTCGCTGTTACTTAGTAGGGGACTAAGGATGGTCAGCAGGAACCACCACTTTCTGTGGCTCACGTTGCATTTGTCTTAGTGTGTGAGCCTCCTCGTGTGAGCCTCCCCGAGAACTGCATTTCAATGACCCTTTCTAACAGCCTGCATGTTCTAGAAGGCCAGCAAGAAATGCAGACAAGCAAGAAATGCAGACAAACTGTTGAAGTACTGGATGCATTAAATGTCATGCACTCTGACCTTTTCATATCAATTTTTATTGCTGGAAACTCATTATGAAATAGGATAAGACCTTCTTTCCCTTATGTTAAAAAAATGTAATTGTACAGTAGATCTTTGACATTTGCTGGAATATTTTCTGAGACCTTTTCCATTCCCCAAATTTGCAGATATCTTTGTAGCATAGCAGCAGTTGTCTCTCTTTTGAGACTATTTCACAAAGA